TGTTTTTATTTTTCTATATTAAAGTTATTTTATTTAAAAATTTGAAACTAAATTGATTTCCTCCAATAAATTAATATTTTTTTATAAAAAATAATTATAATAATAATATATTATTTTGAAGATTTATTTTAATATTGTTATTGTGTATATCAATTACTATGAGCGTTAAAAATAATTTTTCGACAATGATTTTGTAATAAAACAAATGTTCAATAAATTATTTAATAATTATTTGATACTTGTTTTTTAAATAAATTAAACATACAATATTTAATGTATTATGTTTCAATTTAAAATTTTTAAACCAGTTCTTAATTATTATTATTCAATTAAAAACTTAATAAAGATTATCACAAAGTCTAAAATTAATTAAAAATATATTTAATATCATAATTATATTAAATATTATAATCAAATTAAGTATTTAATAAACTATTATAATAATATGTCTAAGTTAAATCAAAATCATAAATAATTAAGTGGCCTAAAAAAATATGGAGAAATGTCTTTAATTAGTTGAGGAAAAATGGGTCAATTAACATAAGAATGACTACACGTGAGATTTAAAAAGTTCTTTATTTTATTCGGTTGATAGTTCTGAAAGAAATTATATTATTATAAGTAATAATTAAATTACAATTTATCACTATAAAAATAATTGAATAGTGTTACTTCACTATTGATTGAATTATTGTGGCTATAAAGGAAATTATATCATCATAAGTAATAATTAAAACACAATTCATTAAAAAAAGAAAGAGAATAAATGATTAAAAAAATTATTTAAGAAGAATTTAGGTGAGATGGGATAAAAATTAACCGCTAATTCTCGTGTTTAGTTTTGGATTTAAATATATTGGAAAAGTTGTATAATAATATTGTCCAACATTGAATTAAAAGTGAGATACATATCAAAAATTTTATATAAAATATAAAATAAATTATATTTAAAAAATAATAATTTATATTTTTTTATTAAGTAGATTAAAAAAAATCAGACAGATAAACACGAAAGTCTTAGTGTGAATAACGACGTATTATCTTCTCCGAAAAAGAGGTAATAAAGACTCTTTGAATACATGACTTAGCTTTTGCAATTTTTGGTAAGATAACATTTGACTTAATATTTCAAGGATTAGGCTTGACTCGACTTGCTAAACTTCATATATGGCACTAACAGCATGCTTACACGTCCCAAGTTGTTTTAACAAATTTCAAACTAAAAAAGCATATTATAAATCAACACATGACAAATATTATGCATGAAAGGTTCAATTCAAATGTGGCTATTTTTGAAACATAGTCCCTAGCTATAAAAGTTGCTACTGTATCTGCAATAGTGAGGCATGAAAACTATGTTGGAACGGATTCTTTGCATGTTAAGAAATTGCATGTCATATGAAGGGAACAAAATTAACTGTTACTGTTGGTTGTGGTAAGTAAAGACCAAACTGATCATATTGAACTATGAATATTAACAAGTTACCTAAAGATTTACCAATATGGGAATATAGTTTATGGGTTGGGGGAGATGAACCAGCATACATGAACGTTTAAATCATATTATCAGAAAAGATTGTGCACGTTTTTTATTGACTTTCAATCAATGAATAGTGGGCCTATTCTCATAGCAAACTTGCATGCACAAGTTATTGTGCTAGAAATATATGGGCAAAATTGCATAAGTGATTTTTATGTTTCATTTTTGTTTTGGTTGATTATTTATTTTAACGGCAAATAAGATAGTTAATATCCTGCTGAAATAAAGAGTAAATTGAGGAAGACACAAGATGGAAGTAACTATTAAAATGGGTTAGCATATATGGGTCTGGTTTGTGAGATTCAAAATATTATAAGATTTATGTTTTAAAATTTGAGTCTATATTTTTTTGAGAATATTTTTTCCATCTTTTATGTTTTTTTAAATATCATGCAAAATTTTAAAAATATTTCTAATTTTTGAAGATGTATCTTTGAGCGTATCTCAATACATATATTTTATTCGTTTTTGTATGAAATCCCAATTTTATAAATACATTTATTATGAAAATATATCTCCAAAAAAACCTAAAAATATATTTTCAAAAACAACGTTTTTTAACTTTCTATGTATACTACCTGCTATCACTAATGGATGTGGATAGCTTGCTGAAGTTATATATGGAATCTGACGCTATTGTATTGCCGTGATCATTGAAGATAGTAAAGATAATACTAATGTTACACGAAATATCATTGATTGTATTGTGTATATAGGGTGGCAAAATCCTAAATATAGTATTCATATAACTAAGTATTTGATGTAATTTGGTCTTTTTGTTTTGTTTGTCCTTGTTGTTGGGCTGAATCCTAGCGACCGTCGTGTACAGTTTGATTTTTGAAATATATATTCTTTTATTTTAAAAAAATAATTATATTATTTATTATTTGTTATATTTAAAGATTTTTTTATTGTTTATTGAATTTAATATATTAATTATAAACTAATTAAAAATATTTTAAGTTATTTACCATACAAAAGAAAGAAATAAAAATAAAAAATAATTAAATTTATTATAGATATATATTTGTAAAAAAAATCATAAATATTATGATTTTAATTATATTATTTAATTGATAATCCGTGTATTATTTTAAAAATAATTTTTTACTACAAATTTATGTGATTGAAATTTATTAAAAATTAATTCAATAATTTTTTTATTATATTTTATGAATTCATATCTCGTTTTTAATTTTTTTTTAAGATGTTATGCTAGTTATTGTGGAGTATATTATTATTATTATTATTATTATTATTATTATTATTATTATTATTATTATTATTATTATTATTATTATTATTATTATTATTATCCACTAGTGATAGCATGTAGTATGCATAGAAAGTTAAAAAAATGTTTTTTTAAAATATATTTCTGAAATAAATGTATTTATAAAATTTGAGTCTGACATAAAAACAAATGAAATGTATGTATTGGGGTCATTCAGAGATACATCTCTGAAAATTGAGGAGATTTTTAAAATTTTGCATGGTGTCTAAGAAGCATATAGGTGGAAAAATAAATTCTCTATTTTTCAGAGTTTTTTTAGCCCAATCTTAGAAAACCCACAACCCATTAGGGCTAGCGCATATGGGCCGTAGGTAGCCTATTAGGCCCACATCGCTATAAATTTTAAAAAATTACATTAATACTTAAATTGTCTTACTCCAAAATAACACATTGATTTTTCTCCCATCACTAAATTTTATCTTTCTCTTTTAAATATTATACATTAATATAATCAACAATTTTTTCTCGTATTCTATTAGTTTCTCTTATGTTAAATATTCGAGTATTATTTTATACAATTTAGACATATATTATATTTAAAACACATTATAGTATTTATGAAAGATAGTATAGTAATTAAAAATGTATGTTTAAAATAATATAATTTTTAATTTTATTTATAATAAATATTATGACATTTTAATTTTAATTTTTTATTTAAAAAAATATCCGTTTAGGGCCGAGTTACCTGAAACTCATCTAAGGCCGAACTCGGGTAATAAAATTTTAACCCATATTAGAAATGGGCTTTTTTTGGTCCAACCCTAAAAATCTCGAGCCCATCAAGGTCGGCTCCTTTAGGGCTGAGTAGCTCATTTTGACAGCTCTAGTAAGAGGTTGCGGCATGGAAAATTTAAGTATTATCAACTCTGCCTCAACCTAACTCTACCAACTCCATCTCCACCCTTTAAATTTGGTTGGAGTAACAATTGATCCCTCACCCCATCTCTAATAAAGAATAAGTTTTGTTTCTACCTAGGGTCCATCCCTATAAAATATATTTTTTTTAAATGCATATTTTTTTTCATAATAACAAAAGTAAATAATTAAGCTAAATATTTGATCATTTTAAGAATAGTCATAATACTTAATCGTTTTTGTTTAAAATGTATTTTTTTAAATGAATCATAATTTTAATAGATTTGATATTTTGATATTAAGAATGGTAAATGGGTAGTGAAATTATTTAAAATAAACACAAAACTATATTTAATACTCCCTTCGTTTTTTATTATAAGTCATTTTTTATTTTTCACTCATATTAAGAAATGTAATAATTGTAGTATGAAAAAGATAAATTATGAAAGATTTTACGAAATTCTCCTTTATTAATGGTATTGAAAAGACAAATTTACATAATTGATACTCGATTGATCAATCAATTCTACTATGCTAGGGTTGACGACCATGAGCAAACGAGGCGTCGGCCGACTAAAAAATCAGGTGGCGGCGCACCGGAAAGGAGCTGAATAGACCATCATTACACAGGCTGTTACTGAACCAGATGCTGAAGACACTGACCACAAGTTATCATTGAAGCTTTTGCAAAACACATTGCAACACAAACAACCATAGAGGAAGGCGATAAACAACATGAAGATCAATAACATACACCCAAAGAGGCAGTAACCAACGATAACACATCATCCCCAGAGACACCAGTTGCAACCCTATCTAAACTATAGGTCAAGGTGATAAAAGGAAATAGGACCCTAAGTAGGGGTATGTCAGTTGAGTTCATGGAGAATTCATGGAGTTTTGTGACGATGTTGGAACTATACTACAATGACGAGGCTTTTTTCATTGTTAGGTTCAAAAGTGAGCAGGATAGAGAAGTCGTCATGACACAGGGACCATATTTCATCTATGGAAAACTTGTGTTCATCAGAAAATGGAGCCCAGAGTTTGAGATGAAAGCGAGCCTCTTACGAGTTCTACCTTTGTGGGTGACTCTACCCAACCTCCCACTGCACCTGTGGGGTTAGAGAAGCATTTCCAAGATTACAAGTGCAATTGGGAAACCAATCACAACTGATGAATGCACCGCGAAGAAACTACGCATTTCATATGCTCGAGTTTTGGTTGAGGTTGACATTACACAGAAATTGAAGGAAACCATAAATATTAGAGATCACAAAGGCAAATTATTGGAGCAAAAGGTAGAATATGAGTGGAAGCCAGCATACTGTAAAAAAATGCTTGAAGATAGGACATGTTTGTGATATGAAAAGGAAGAATGACAAGAATGCCAAAGTTTGGAAGCCTGTCACAACTAAACCAAATCCTAGCCAACAAATTCAGAAATTGAATCATTCACAAAAAGGTGACATAAACCAATCCACTCAGGAAAAGGAATACCCAAGGGAGAGCTCTGGTATGAACACACCTTCCCCTGCTCAACAAGATGAAGACTGGACTACCATTACAACAACAAGTAAAGTGGACATAGGAAGGAAAGGTACGACTCCCACACATAATAGCTCATTTGTGAAATATCATAATTCTATTACTCCCCTCAGGATTGGAGATTGTCCTAGGGGAGAAAACAATTTTGACACATGATAGTCACTTGGAATGTTAGAGGCATCAATAAAGTGCTCAAATCCACTGATCAATTCATTCGTGTAGATGTGTATGCCCTGAATCAAGCTCATTTGCACATAATTACTATGATACATGCTTTCAATAAACTTGAATATAGGAGGAATTTATGAAAGGATATAGAACTCATAAGAAAACAGATCACTTGCCCATGGATAGTCATGGGGGACTTCAAACTAGGATAGAATAGGAGGAAATGAGGTGAGTGAAGCTGAGTATATGGACCTAGTAAACATGATTCAAATAGTTGGACGGTTTGAAGCAACAACTCAAGGTTCTCAATACACATGGACTAATAAGCACACTACTGGGGTAATCTACTCAAGAATTGATAGAGTCTTGGGGAATGCTGCTTGGTATCATAATTTTCATGATGTTGTGATAGAAAACTTGGCCCCAAACGTTTCAGACCATACACCTGTGAAGATCAGCAAGCATGAACAACACACAAGGAGGAAAACTATGTTTAAATTCCTGAACTGTTTGACTCATGACCCTTCCCTTTTCCAAATTATGAAGGATAGTTGGAAAATGGAAGTGCAAGGTAGACCTATGCAATGCCTTTGGAAAAAACTGAAATGACTTCAACCTAGACTCAAGCAAATGATCAAAAGGTATATGGACATTCAGACTCAAATCAACCAAGCCAGACAAGAACTGTATCAGTCCCAGGAGAGACCACATTAGGATTTATTCAATGACCAGTCCATACAATAGGTTAAAGCTTGCATAGAGAGGATCATTCACTTGAATCAAATAAAAGAGGAAATCCTGAGACAGAAGGAAAAAATTCACATGGCTGCAATTAGGTGATAAGAACAATGCCATCTTGCATGCTTCTATGAGGGAGAAGAATAAGCAGAACGGTCTATATAGTATGCATGCCTTGAATGGACAAATTCTCAGTAAGCAAGAGGATATTGAAAAAGAAATTGTGGACTTCTACACTAAGCTCGTAGGCAAAATACTGCTAATCTAAAAGGCATTGAGGTTCCTATAGTGAGAGCTGGGAAAATTTTAAATAGGAAAGATTCACATCAGCTTATAAAACCAATGGAAGATAAGGAAATTTGGGATGCCCTGAACATCATAGGAGATAATAAGGCTCTAGGCATTGATGGCTACAATGCCTATTTCTTCAAGCAAACCTGGCAGATTGTGAAACATGATGTAAAAGATGCTATCAATGAATTTTTTTAGACCAACTACATGTATAAGGCCATTAACTGCTCTCTGATTACTCTGATTCCCAATACCCCAAAATCAAAGACTATCAAGGAAATTAGGCCTATAGATTGTTGTAGTACTATCTACGAGATCATTTTAAAGATTCTAACTTCTAGACTTGGTGCAGCCATTGGCAGCATTATTGAAGACACTCAATCTGCTTTTGTTCCTAGCAGGACAGTTCATGATAATATCATGTTTGCTCAGGAACCAGTGAGAGGGTATGGTAGAAAAAATTTGTCTCCCAGATGTATGATCCAATTGGATATTCAAAAAGCTTATGATACAGTTGTCGCTACTGCGAAAATCGGCGCCGGCTGAACAGAAGAGTCGCCACCGTGCGTTATTTATCCCAACGGAGGGAAAGGAAACGCTCAGAGTAAACCTACCGCAAAGACGGGAAAGGAATGGTCATCGCAACCAAATCCTGGATTCGGGAGTCGGTTACGCAAGGGGAAGGTATTAGCACCCCTCACGTCCGTCGTACTCGACGGGATCCACGCTTGTTTTCTGGTACGGATTGTTATTCTATCTAAACTAAGGGTTAAGGGTTAAAAAGAAAATAAAATGAAAATAAAATGACTCGGCAAAGTATCGCACTTTATGCCTACGTATTCCCGTCTGGAACGAGAAATCAGAGTCAATGTAGTTCACCTACCTACGGGAAAGGAGGGGAAGGTTGCTCGCTAGGATATCGCATCCTATGCCTACGTACTTTCATACAGCATGAAAGATCAGAGCAAACGTAGTTCGGGCCACGTACGACACAAGTCTGTCTTGGTTGATTTTATTCCTTATGAAAAAGGTTTTTTCTGATTAACAGTCCCGGCGGACAAAAATGACATCTTGATGAGTTCACGTTCTTTTACGAAAGAAGTGTCTTTTATTGTGTTTGAAATCTTTATGGTGTTTTTCTGTTTGTTTTGAGGAAGAAGAGACAGAACTCTAATCTATGGTTGCGAAGGGAAACAAACTAACCTAATGTTATCATGCATGGGTTAAGACCTAGTGTCTATCATGCTCCTCTCTTGCACAGAGAGAAACAGAGATCCTAAGGGAATAGACGGAAACAGAAACAATATCAGATATATACAGTAAAACAGTAAAATGCATGGATGCAACAATACAAGCGAGGCAAGGGAGTCCCACTCAACCTCGAACCTAGAAAACAATAGGCAAAAGTGAACAGACTTCACTTTCAACCCAACAGGGTAAACAGCAAACAATACAGTCAGGAAAACCAATCAATACATCAGAAGTGAAATACAGCAAAAACAAACAGCCACAGCAGCTCTGCATCAACACCTATCTTCAAGTCATCTCCAATCAGCTACAAGCTTCAGCAAGCATCAAATCTCCATCTCCACAGCCTTCAGGCAAGGTCTTCATTATCAGTCTTCCATCAGCAATGGCTCTTCTTCAAGTCCCAATCTTCAGGAGAAGCATCAGTCAACAAGATGAAGTGAATGAAGGTTATACAGTCAATTACCTACCAAGGGTGGTTCATTAACTGTTAACATTATACAGATAATTTCCCCTCAAAAGTTCTATCTTTCAAATACAGTCACTGATCCTTCCAAAGGAAGGAGGTGGATATTTGAAAGAGACTTTGAATCATAGGGAAAGGATGGATGCAGACAAAGCATTCCATGTTTGAGAAACAAACTTTCTAATCTAGAGCTCTGCCTAGCTCCTAAACCCTAATCTCCTCAACAGCTGCTAGCAGGAATCTCCTCATCCACTCTGAAAGTTGGCCTTCAGTCTCTGGATCTCTAATGGCTTCATCATCACAAGTCTTCAGCTTCCCCAATCCCCAAGCAATCCCAATACCCACACAGACAAACAATAATCCCCAGAGGGTACACCACACCAATCAATCAAATAAAGTATTATACCAATAGCAGTAGGGGAATCCTAGTGATTTCTAAGGGGATCTATCCTATACCCATAACCCCTATATTCCATACCCCAAAAATCAAATGAAAATTTCCTAAAAGAATTAAACTATCTCACCTAAGTTGATTTAAAACCCTAATTTTGTTCATGTTGTTCCAACCTAAACTAATCACCTAAAATTAAGTCCTAAAAATATGAACTAAATTGCATGTACAAGATAACAATGTCTACCAATCAATTTAAAAAGAATGGACAAAAAATATCAAAGCAACTATTAGAACAAAATTTATCAAAATCATGTATGAAATGAGACACTTAAAATGTGCATTTATTTGGAAAATATGGGAAAAATATCAAATGAAAAATAAAATGCAATTTTTATTTTTTATAATTTTCTAGACTCTTTGAAGAAATTAATGCAAAAAGAATCATTGAAAAATAAGGTTTTTATGATTTATTATGATTTTTTAGAAAATGCATGAAAAATGAAAAGAAATAAAAATGAAATAAAGAGAAATAGAGGGAGGGGGTAAGAATAGCCAATGCGCGCAGTTGTTTGATCTATGTGGGCCAGAAGATGGGGTGCGGATATAAATTATGCAAGGCCCAGTTAGTTTCAGAAAATTGAATTAAAAAATAAAAGAAAAATGAAACGGGCACGGTGCAAATAGCGAGAATTTCCAGTTCAAATTCCAATGGGCTTTGGTTTGGGGGTGGGGATAGCATTCTGATCCAAGGCCCATGCTGATGAAGTTAAGTGAAACGGTGCGTTTCACAGTTGAACTTCCCTCCGTTTCTCATTTTTAATCGTGTCCGTTGGATTGTGGATTGAGTCAAAGTCAAATGGCTAATCGTGTGGTCAGAAGGTTGTCTTCAACCTTAGAAACCCTAGGGTTTCTGAAACTTCCTCGCCATGCACACACTTTACACTCCTCTGTTCTCCATCAATTGTCCATGAAATCACATGCTCTGAAGAGCAAACTTGGTCCATTTTCTTCCCTCTACACAACCCTATCAATATCTCACTCTAAAATTCACTCAAGCAATAAACCCGATAGGGGTAACAGATAGGATCCACCATTTTCACTTGTCATCAACCATCTCAATTCTCTTCAAATCTTACCCTAACCTAATCTATACCTCACCCTGATCATTTCAAGCCATATAAAGAGGATTACCTTGCTATATTCCATGCGTTATGAACCTTAACAAAACTGGTGCACCGTGATCAAACTCCATTAAACCTCTCCAATCATCTAACCTAACTTAACCAGTCTAAGCTAACAAAACCCTATCATGCTGACTAAACTATGCAAATCGAGCAGAGATACCAACCTGGTTTAAAATGGAGATACAACTATGGAAACCCTTGAATCAATGCTTGCAGGGACTTGAAACTGATCCACACACTACCACTTTGATTCTGTATGCAAAGATCTTGGCTCAAACTTCTTGTATCATGTGATTCCAATTTCTTGCACCTTGAATGATGAAACATGTATAGCACTATCCTTGCTCAATTCAACCAAATTCTTATGAGAATTGTAATCTATGGATGATGGTGATGAAGATCAGATCAAGAAGTGTGAGAATTGAGGGAGATTTGAGAGGGTTTGAGATACTTTTGCAAAATGGAGAAAGTGAATGAAACTTGTGATTTTGAGAAAATGTAATCACCAACCATGGCATGAACCATCTCATATCAATATATAGGTGTCCTTAGAACCTCCTAGAAACTTGGAGAAGTTTCCCTTGCATTCTTTCCCTTGAATTTGGTTTATGTATCTTCCATTACAAGTAACCATGGATAACTCCCAAAATGTGAACTAAGCTAAAAA